ATATATATTTCTTCTACATTCTTTTAAAAATATATTAAATTAAATATTAATTAATAAAATAATATTCTTACTCTCTATTTTTATAATAACTAATGCATTTAAATTTAATATTTTATATTTACATACTTTATTAAAAAAAAAAAATTAAAAAAAATTAATATATTTTACTGTCTGTATCAGATAAATATTATATTTATTTAAAAATAATAATAATAATAATATTGACCCCCTTATTGTGAATTATATCAATTGTTTGTAAAAATAATAAAAATCTAAATTTACTTACTAAATTAAATTATTTAAATAAATAATTTATATATTTTATCATACTGCCTATAAATGATAAGCATAATAAATTAAAAAAATTAATTAAGTTTCTTACTAACTATTTATAAAAATTAATATAATACAATTTTGACTTTAAAAAATATTACATACTACAATTTTATTAAAAAATTTAAACTATTATATTATATTGTATTTACTTTCTATATTAATAAAAATGAGTATTAATTAAAATAAAATAGATAATAAATAAATATATTTAAATTATTTTAAAAATTTTACAAACTTCAATAAAAAAATTATTTTGAAAACATTAAATTAATTATTTATTACACACTTTTTTTATAATTTTTTTAAATACACTATAATATTTATTTACTTCCTTATTTAAAATTAATACATAATTAGCTTTTTATTATAATAAATCTTACACTCTTTATTTATTAATTATTTTTTTAGAAACATAGAAATTAATACGCACTAGATTTTTTAAAAAATATATTAATATTTTTTTAATATAAATTATACTTCCTATTAATATTATTTAAAACAATTAGGCTAAATATTTAAATTTTACTGACTATTAATTATTAAAAAATAATAATATTTATCATATTTACAGACTAGATATAAAAAAAATATTATAATATATTTTTCAAAAAATTAATTTTACACACTATTTAATAAATTTTAAATTTAAATTTATTGAAAAAATATAATTTTACAGGCTTTTTAAATTATTTAAGTACATAAATCATTTATAATATTTTACTTATTTCTTTTAGAATATCAATAAACTTATAATTTTAAATTTTTTTTTGAATTACATCATCATCCACCTTAATTAAATTAATTTAAAAAAATAATATAAAAATAAATTTCTAATTAAAATTATGTTAATATATATATATATATATATATATATATATATATATATATTTATAAAAATAAAATTAAATAAATTAAATGTTGTTTAAATATAAATTTTTAGGTTAATTACTTTTATCTATAATAATTAAATTAAAATATTTGATTGTATGCTTTACTTATGACTTTATTTATTTTATTTAAAAAAAAATCATATAAGTGCGAATTTTAAATTTATTTTCAAAAAAAAGTATTTTAAAATATTACAGTCTATTTTAATATTTGTTTAAAAAAGTTTTATAAGCAAATAATCGTTTCATACGCACTAAATAATTTTAATTAAATTATAACTAAAAGAAAAATAAATGGGTACATTCTAAATATAAAAATTTTATTAAAATAAATTATAAATTAAATTTTTTACATCCTAAATAAAATATTGTTTAAAAGCAAAAAATAAAAATAAAGTACGCACTATAAAATATATAAAAAATTATTAATAAAAATAAAAATATAATATTACTAACTATTTCAAAATAAATATAAGAAAATCATGAAAATTACAGTCTATTATTTTACATTATAATATAATATAATCCATTGATATTACTTTATGCTAAATATTTTTTTTTTAGATATTTAATTTAATAAAATTAAATATACTTCCTGATTAATAGAGTAAAAATATAATTAATTTTTTATTAAATATTTAAAAAATTTAAAAATACATCCTATAAAATAGTAAATAATATGTCAAAAGCTATATAAACTTACAAAATAAAAAATAAATTTTTATAATGTTTTAAATAAATATACATATTTATTAATATATATTATTTAAAAAAAAATAAACAATTACATAACCTATAAAAAAAATATTAATTTTAATAATAATATAAAATGATTTACTTTATTTTAATGTTGTAATGAAAAGTAAAATATGAAAATAATGATTTCAATATATGTTAAACCGCTAATCTATTTATATTAAAAATAATTATACATTATAATATATTTACTTCCTAAAATGAGTAAATAAAAAACATCAAATAAATAAAGTTAAAATTATTAAATAATTAAATTACGCACTTTAATTAAAATATTATTATATTATTATTAATACATTATTTGATATTACATGCTGTTTATTTAAAAAAATAAAATAATATTCTATTTATTTATAATATTACAATCTATTTATAAAATATGATAACTTAAGCTATAAATACATTATATTTAATTTATACTTACTAATTTAAAAAAAAATATTAATTAAATTAAATATAATATAATATTTTTTTTAATATTATACTGCCTTATTTAAATTAAAAATTTATAGATTGTAAATTTAATTTAATTTAATTTAATTTCTATTTAAATATTACTTTCTATTATAAAAAATGTTAATAATAAAATTTAAACTAAAATTTTATATATTTTATATTACGTTCGTTTTAAACTAAAAGATATATTAATTATGCATTTATTAATAATAAATTTTGATAATATTACTAACTATTTTTAATAAAAGATAAATAAATTTAATTAAAAATACATTATATTAAATATTACATACTAATTTCATTAAAAATATATGGTAAATTATAGATATAAAATTTTTTTATTTAATAATACTTACTATTTTTTAAAAATTAATTGATAAATTTAAACTAAATATATTATTTTAATTAATAGTACATACTAATTTTGATAAAATATTGTTATATATTTAATAAAAATATTATTCTATTTAAATATTACTTGACTCTAATATAAAAAAAATTATTAAAAATTAAATTAATAAAGTATTAATTAATTTATATTACTCCCTAATTTATAACGAAAAATTAATTAATTTAATATAAATAAAAATGCTAAATACAAGCTTTTTTAAAAAAAAATAATTAATTTAAATTAAATTAAAAATATTTTTTAATTAATATTACATCCTATTTTTCATAAAAATTAAAAGTTTAAAATAAGTATGAAAATGTATTTAAAAATACTAACTATTTTATATAAATTTAATAATCTTTAATTTAAAAATCAATTTATTAAATTATAATTACACTCTATTATTATTAAAAAATTAAATAATAATAATTTCTCATTTAATATTACTAACTATTTTTTAAATTCAAAAATTAATAAATTTTAATTAAATATTCTATTATTTATAAAATTACATACTATTTTTAAAAAATAGTTATATTTATAATAAAATATATTAAAAGAAATATTACACGCTATTTTCATAAAAATTGTTAATATAATATCAAAAATTACTATTTTATTTAATATTACAAACTATTTTTAATAAATAAATAATATGTTTAAATTATAATATTCCATATATATTTATTATTACTCCCTATTTATATAAAAAAAATATATATTATAATTTATAATAATTTTTATTTAATTATACATTCTATTTTAAATAATAATTAATAAATTTTAACTAATAAATCTATTCATTTAATATTACTTTCTATTTAAAAAATTCAATTAATATTTAAAATTATATTATTTTTATTACAATTCCCTATTTTTAATAAATAATTGTTAAATTAAATTAAAAATGCTATTTGTTTAATATTATTACAAACTATTTTTAATTTGAAATAATTATTAAATTATATTCAATATTACTGACTATTTTTTAAAAAATATAGATAAGTTTATTTTAAAAACTTTATTTAATTAAATATTACAGGCTATTTTAATAAAATATTTAAATAACTATAATTACTATTTTATTAATATTACAATCTTATTTATTTGATAAATAATTAATAAATTTAATTTTAAAAATGCCATTTTTTAATATTACTTTCTATTTTCAATTAAAAATTAATAACGACAACTTAAAATTTATTTTATATTATATTACTCCCTTCTTTAATTGAAAAATTAATATTTTCAAATAAAAATATAATATAATAATGATTACTGTCTTTTTTAATTAATATATTGATAAATATAAACTAAAAAAATAATTACAGTCTATTTTAAATTAATATTTTATAACTCATTAAAAAAAGCGGAATATATTTTAATATTACTAACTATGATAAATAACAAAATTAAAAAATTTGATTAAAAATTCATTTTTATTAAAATTACCCACTATATTTAATATAAAATATAAATAATTTTTTCTTAAAATATAAATTTTAATGTCTGTATTTACTTGCTTTTTTAAAATAATGTATTATATATATAAATTAGTATTATTATTTTAATTATTTTTACTTCCTTTTTTTTGCATCAATATTAGATTTTTATTATATTATTACACACTTTTTATTTTATTTTATTTTATTTTATTTTATTTTATTTTATTTTATTTTATTTTATTTATAATAATATTAATAATATTTTAAAATTTTACTTGATGAATCTTAAATATTATTATTTTATAAATTTTTTTTTGTTATTATTTATTTTTTATTACTCTCTATAAAAATTAATTTAAATTTTTTATATATTATTATTACCTGTTCATAAAGAAAAGTATATATAAATATTTAAAATTATATTATTTTTCAATAATTAATATTACGCACTAATATTTTTTATATATGCTTTTAATAATTATTTTTAATTTTACAAGCTTTTTTTAATTTATTTAAATAATTTTTTTTTTTATTATTTTTTTACCAACTATAAATATTAATTATGGCTTTATTTTAATTATTTTTTTTACACACTTTATTTTAAATAAAATTATATTTTAAAATTTTTCATTATATTTACTATCTTTTCATATTATAAATAATAATTTTTATAAAATTATTACATCCTTTTTTTTAAAAAAAATATTTTTATTTTTTGATAAAAATTATTTACTCCCTTTATACATAACATAATTTAATTTTTATTTTTTAAATAATTGAATTTATATTTACATACTATAAATTTATGTTTGCATAATTTAAATACAAATAAATATTTACTTCCTATTTTTTACAAAAATTTATTTATTTATATTAAAAAAAATATATATATTATTTATTTATTACACACTATAATATAAAAAGTTAAATTTAAATTTAAAAAAATAAAATTTACTCAGATCCTTTTATTTAAAAATTATATATTTAAAAATTTATTTTCAAAAAAATAATATTTTTTTTAACCTAAAATACAACAATAACAAAAAATATGTATAAAAGGCAATAATAAATTAGAAATCATTTTTACACACTATTTTAAATAAAAAAAATATTATTATTAAATAATTATTTAATTTTATTGTTTTTTTTATATTGTTATTTACATGTTTCTTAAAAAAGAATAGAAATTTTATATAATTATTATATATATATAAAAACTTGGCTTAAAACTTAATATAGCTATGAACAAATAATAAGAACCAATAATTAGATGTAAATCTAAAAGTCAAAAATTAAGAAAAAAAATAATTATCAATAATTTTTTTTACCTTTGACATTCAATATTTCTATATATATATATATTTTTTTTGTATGATAAATTAAAAAAATATATTATATTTAAAAAAAAATTAAAAAGTTAAATTATAAATAAATAAATAAAAACAAGATAATAAATATATATGAAAAGATATTATAATATAGTATTTATATAACAAATATAAATTAAAAATTTAATAAATTATATATATATATATATATATATATAATATATAAATATATATATATTTATTTTTCAAAATTATATCTATTTATTTGTCTAAAAAATTGAAATATAATATGATTATATAATTTTTAAAAGTAATATTTATAAATTATATATATAATATATGTAATTTAATATTATATTTATTAATATTAATTTTATATTTATTTTTATAAATAATCATATTAAATAAAATTATATATCATATTATGTCTATTTTTTTTAAAAAAAATTTTATTAAAAATTTTATGATATATCTTTTATTTTTTTTAATATAGCAAAATAAAATTAAATAAAATTTTATTATATTAAATGCATATATATAACAATTTATTATGATTTTTTATAATTGAATTTTCGGACATAAATAAGATAAAAAAATCTAAAATTATATAGTTATTTATTATGATTTGTAATAATAAAATTTAATAAGCATATAAATGATGGAAATAAAAATTTTTTTATAATTAGAAAAATTTTATACGAAGTCTTTACAATCTCATTTATATTAGGTAAGGAAAATATAATTTATAAAATAATAATAAT